AATGTGCTTTCCAGTGACTAATGAAGTTCCTTTAACTCCACTCTGACAAGTTGCAGAGCAAGTAAAAAAAAAACTTTGCATCAACGTTCTGCATTCATATCGCAAGTTATGAGCATCAGCTTCTGCTTCTGGACAGCTTATTCTTCCCGAGGCACTTAAATTGTTACCTTTGGGCTCAACCTCTAAGTTGGACCTCAGTTTGTGTCCTGTTTGTCTAGTATATCTTAATTTTAGTAATTTGGGCCTCGGTTTGGGCCCCTACTTTTATTTTACCGTGTAATTTGTTTTAGTTGAAAAAAAAAAGAAATAGTGCGAAAAAAAGTGTGAAAAATAGAATTTTCTAACGTTAATTGCAGTGATTTTTTATTCTTATTATTTGACGGCCGCTCAAACGATTCAATTGCAGTCTTGCCACCGTAGCAGTGTCAAATGAACAATCGTGATTGGGGGCATTGTTGGACTCTTTTGAGTCTCGTGAGGTAACAATTTTATTGTATGAACATGTACTTTTATTTTAGTGTTTTAGCTTGTCAATTTTAAAATTAAAAAAAAAAATGTTATGCCATGAATACCAAATGTCGGGAGTCCACTTGTTAATAAATGGAAGGAAACTTCTTCAATCTTCATTACTTTTTAATGAGCTCCTATCGTTACTTGAATATGTTGAGTATTTGCTTTCCCAAGTGGACCAATTGCATGTTGTTTTCATGCTCACATCTATTAATTACCTATTAATGAGCTCCTTTCGGTACTTGAATATACTGAGTATTTACTTTCCCAAGTTGACCATTTGCTTGTTGATTCCATGCTCACATCTATTAATACACTTAGCACAGTATTGGTCTCAAATAAACTATTAAGACATCTTGATTTTGTTATACAAGTAGCAGTTGTTTCTTGCCTTGGTGAAATATTCTGCATCACAGCACCGGATCCCCATTTCCGTGATGAAATAATACAAGACATTTTTCCCTCGATTATATCATCATTTGCATTTCTCACGAGCACCTCCATCAATTTGTATGTTACAGCGGTTAGGATATTAGATACTATGGCTAATGCGAAGTATCGCCTTATCATGTTGGACCTCGATTGTGAACTTTTGATAATTGACATGTTTCAACACTTTCTTGTAGCTTTAAACGGAAATCATTTATGGAATATCTTTACATCCATAGAGACTCTCATGAGCTTTACATTGGAAGAAAGTGACAATATTCCTCTAGATTTAATTACCATTCTTTTGGATAATGTTCAAAATAAACACATAGGAGGTCTACCTATTAAATTTAGTGTGGTGGAAAGACTTTTTGAGAAGTGTGTTGACACGATCAAATCTTACTTGTCACGAGCTATATAATCTTTAGAGGTTTGTTTAAATGATTATAGTGCAGTTCTTTCATTCATTTTCACAGAAGTCGAGAGTTGTGAACAGTGTATTGTGTCCTATATCGTGACCGCATATGTAATCGATACACGTAATATTGACATAATTGAGAAGTTACCTAAAGCAATATCATCAAAGTCAGGCATTTCAGATATCATAGATCTCATGCTTGCTAAGTTACTTGACTTTCATGTTAAATTTGTTTTAGTTTTCCCTCAATTACATGAGATTTCGTGGGTTGTCACATTGTTTTCTAAGACCATTACTCGATTGCACACTCTTCCTATCGACAATAGGATGTTGTCCATTAATTATCGACATGCTTTGTTAGCTAATCATCCCGTTGACAATGTTTTTAAATTTTATGCCAAATTAAGAGGTCAAATCATTTTAAATCATGAATTTTTTGTACTTTGGAGGTACAATATATGTTAGGGTTCCATATTGCAAATTACTACTTATGTTAGGGTTCCATATTGCATATCACTATACTTTTTTGCTCCTTTCTCTTATCCATTTTCCTAAAAACGTGAAAAAATGTTTTTTCATCATTCACATAAAAATTTTCGATTTGACTGGTCATCTCACTTAAATGAAAGCTATATTTTCAATACAAAATAATTGTTTATTAATCGGAGCCCATTCAAGCATTCAATGTTGCGATCATTTCTCTCTACAGGCCAGTCTGCGATGCTAGCTTGTTATGCTTCTCATTATGCACAATCGAATGAAAGCTTTACAGATGAGTTGCATGAGTGTTTGCTATTCGGTGTCCAGTATCGACACTTGATCAGATGGAGAGATTGTCCCCTTTGGCTAGATCATATTTTTTGAAATAAGTTGCAGTTTTCGTTACTATCAAGAATGTGGTTTCGATATTTAGTTCTTACGAAAGATCGTCTCTCGTAGTAGAAGTTTATCTACTCGACAGAGTCGAGTTTTCTCCACTCCGGGAGAGTTGATGCTGACATCATCACTATTTATGTTATTATTGATTTTTATTAATTACGTTTTTTTTATTATTATTGGGCTTGTAGTAGTGGGTTGGCCTAAACCCGTCACTAGTAAGTTTCTTTTTTACTATTTATTGGATTTTCATTGTTGTTGACTTAGTTAATGATCGAGTAAAAGTGCAATGGCAGTTGCCACGTTTTCTTCTCCTTCCTATTTCTCATGATTTCTTTCCCCTACTTCTTTCTCTTCCGTTGTTTGCTTGCTTCTTTTCTAATTGACAGTTAATTTCCTATTGATTCTACATCACTATTGCTTCTTTTAGTCATGCTGGGGAAGATCTAGCATACCTTACATCATTGAGGATAGATGAAATAGCATTGCTAATTTCTTTTATACCATCACAAACTATAAGATTGAGAATGTGAGCTCAACACCTCATATGATGCATTTCTTTCCCAAGAACTAGACCATTCTTCTTCTCTAGAAAACTACTCTTCAATTTCATTATTGCTACATCATTAGATGAAGCATTATCAACTGTCACACAAAAAATCTTATTAATTCTCCAATCCTGAAGGCAAGATATCAATTCATTTCCTACCATATCACCCTTATGGTTGGGGACTTGGATGAAATTTATGATTCGTTTTTGAAGTTTCCAATCATCGTCAACCCAATGAGCAGTCAAGCATGAATAACTTACATTTTGTATGGATGTCCAACAATCAGTAGTCAAACAAACCTGATGTTTACTCAATTATTTCCTCAATTTCTTCTTCTCATCGAGAAACAAATGATATATATCCCTAGCAACTATAATCCTTGAAGGAAAATCAAAAGTTGAAAAAAAATATCTTGTATAACACCGGAAACCTTCATCTTCCACGCATCGAAAAGGTAACTCAGATAATATAAAGTACTTAGTAATCTGTTCTCTTACACCTTTCTAAGTAAACTTGACAAGTTGTTCATCACTACCAACACTCTCTAAAATTTCATCATTTTTAGAATTACCATAGAAATTCAATGTCTTTTGCCTTTTGTCTTGAAACCTATATGGATACTTCTTGCACAAATGCTCGATATGTTTTAGCAATGTACTAGTCCCACCTTTAGATTGNTATTACATACATATATATATATATATATATATATATATATATATATATATAATCATATTATGCAACATGACCTCAAAGATAATATACAAAAGAACATTAATGTTATAAAAAAAAACTTTAATCAATCATGTTATGCAAAATTAATATACAAAATAATGTATTATGTGCAAAAAATATTGCCTTCACTGATTGCATTATTTTGTGCAATTCTATCCAAAATTAAAACCTAAAAATGATTAAGGATTGGATTTAAATTTTAACGTTAAGATGGGTAATTATCTAATTGGACGTTTAGTTAAGTTGAGTATTGAATTTAATTGCATTGGGTCTAATATGAAGATATCTTTTAATTGTGATGCATTTGGTTTTAATTAGGTTGAATAAAATTTAAATTTAAATTTGGTATTTTTTTTATTTTTTTATTTCATGCGGTTTGAAACGGTTTATAAAAATTAAAACCTAAACCAAACCACCTAAAAGCGGTTTGGTTCGATTTAAAATCAAAACGTAAACGGATCCAAACTAACGATTTCGGTTCAGTTTGGCGATTTTATGATTTCGTTGTTCAGTCCTAAAAAACAGGTTTTTCAGTTACCGCAGCAAAAGATGGGCGAATATAAGAAAATTTCTAGCCTCATTTTCAACGAAAATGTGTTCAATAGCATCAGCAAGGATGAATTTTCGAAATTGCATAGAGCATCCAGTGTTTGAGTTTGCGGTGAAGATGGAGGTAGCGACGGTCGAGGTGGATATTGGATTTGAGGTGGGGGCAGGTGGGGAAGAAGACATCGTTGTGTGTGTGTGTATTTATTTATTTAATTATTTAATGTGATAAATGAAAAGTTACTCTTTTTTCAATTTTTAAAATATTAAAAATGTGATTAAAGTTAAATTTTTGATCAATTGACAAAATAATGAATGGAAATTGTCCAAAAAAACTTCACCTGCAACATTTAAAAATGTTAGAGATGATGATTGCAACAAATTAAAAGTTCTGAAAAATCTGCTAACGTTTTAAAGGTTTGGAGCATTTGCTGCAATTATCCCAAAAATATTGGTTCTTGGGTTTTCCTTGTTGCATCATTATAAAAAGTGAGTTTTCTTTAATGTGCAAAAGAGTTGTCACATACGATAAGGCCCAGAATAATTTTGAATAAAATTGTTTAGCACTCACAGATTGAATGTTGAGCGTGGAAATAAAAGAACCTTGATTACAATCATTATTTACAAAAGTACATTAAAATAATTTCAACATAAGCCAAAGAATAGGATCAAAGAAGATCATAATGGTGTGACAAATCATGTAAAATTCAGAAAACAGAGTTTTCATGGTGTAACCACGTCAAATTTAAAGTGATTACTCAATAGGCACTTTCGATTATAACAGATGATAGACCAAGAGAAAGTAGCTAAAACAATTTTCTTCTGTTGATGATGACTATCGCCTACTCTACCAATAGTTAGATTTACGTAAATACAATAAAAATGAATGAAGTGCGAAACCTACTTTATTTTCCCAATATTTTTCAGCTTAGTATTCAATCGCTCTTACCCTTTTGACAACCAATCTCTTGTAGGTAATGCTCGGCATCTAAGGAGGCCATGCATCCTGCCAACAAATAAAAAATAAAATAAAATCTAAAATGTAATTGAAAGACTTTAGATCCAACGACGGTTTGGAACCGCCTCATATGAGAATGCATTATTGTGCATGTTTAGTACGTTCCATGAACGAGATTTTTAACTGAACTTTCTTCATTACTACAGTCCATTGCTTACAAAGCCTCGTTACCAACTGTGCAAATGAACTCTAGATATCTCTATTGCTTCTCAGTCCAGAAAGGAGGTGAATAACACATCTAATTGTGGAAGTTGTCTTGCAGGATAAATCATGTCAATAAGGTATCCAGAAGCCTTAAAATTCCTAATCATGTTTCTGTTAAATATGTACTCGCTAAATGTGCTTTCCGTGGCATAGCTCCGAACACTTCCTTGAGGAACTCTTAAAACTATGATTTCTAAACTCCTATAAACGTCTTCTTATTGGCCAAAGGATTTTACCTGACAAATACGGCCTCTAAATTTCATTTAATCCAATAGAACTACGGAGTGCATCTTACCCCCAGAATTATACTATCTCAAACTTTCTAGATATTTCAATGCGAAACTAAGAGATTTTACCTTTTATTGGATATAATATATGCACGTAGAACAAAGACATTAATGCAATAAATAAAATGCTAATGAAGTGTTGGCAGTACAAGTTTAGGATGCTAACTAATGGAGAGAAAATAAGAACCAGAAATTTAAGGAGAGAAGTTATTGCATGAATTCAAGAACCAGTTGAGGAAGAAAATCGTCACATGTTAAAAATATTTCATATGATGATCAACTTTATTACACAGTTTCCCAGAACAAGGAATAAGATCTTAGTAGGAAACCATTTACTGACTAATTATAGAGTTGTTATTGATTATTTTGGACTTGGAACAAACTCCTTATAACAATAAGAGGCTATACCACGTTCCCAGCTTGAATATTTTAATCATCCGCAACTTAAAAGTAGAGGTACCTAACTTATGAAAGAACAAAGGGATACAACAATATCTACGCCTAGCTCTTGATGAAACAAAAAATTGATCCCATAGCCAGTGATGTATTGGCGTTTTAAATTGATTTGTTCCTATATAACTCAAAGGACAAGAAGGGATCCAAGCTTGGTGAGTTTAAAAGAAAGAGTTACACATAAAGCTAATAAAGATTATAAAATTTTGCGAATCTATCATAGATGTGTAAAAACAAAAGAAACTTCAATAGAAGAAACAATATGCAATGAGAAGAAGATTAGGAGCTTGAAGACTAAGAAGCAGGAAGATTTGGCGCAAAATTGAAGATGTAGAGAATTTTGAAGATTAAGAAGAAAATAGTAACAAGGAAATTTAGAATGTTAACTAGCTAGAAAGTAGGAGAAAAAGATTGGGGAAAAGATGCAGAAGTGCTAACAAATTAGAAGAAGATGTTTACAACATCAAGTTCAAACAATCATGGAAGATTGGTTTTGAGATTGATTGGCTCAATTTCTTGTTACTGGTCTCTTTAGCTGCATATCTACATTATGGCTCAAAAACTATTTTTGGAAATGGTTCAAATGTTTGGGAACAAGCATGACGAGATGTTTATGCGTTCACAGTGGTGTTTAATTCATCCATAAAGTTAAGTTCTGGGACTTAAAAGATAGGGTAGTTACACCTAATACAGACAAGGAAAATAGGTTTTGTCCAATGTGATTACTACATAAGCCCGAGTCTGGCAAATTTGCTTTCGTTAATCAAGCGTGCTCCTTTTTTGGTAATCAGGGTATTCCTTGAACACTTCCGAATGGCTTACCTATCTCAAAACCCTTTACACAGAAAAATCAAGCCCTTAAGAATCTTGTCATTAGATGCACACACTTTTCCATGCATCATTTCTTCAGACATCTTTTCCTTCTTTGACAGGTATTTTCCACGCATGAAAATAATCTTAACATACAGAGCAACTAGATTCCCGAATGGAGGCGAAATTCTTTCACAGTTCAAAGGTTTCTTTCAAATTGTAAAATACAAATCGACCAAATAAAACAGTACGCAACTATAAAAGATAAGCAACCACCATTAAACTATAAGTTGAAGACCACCTATATATCAATGGCAATCAATCAAATCAATAAACAAATATAGCATATAAATACCTATTCATATTAAAAGTTAATATTCAACTAACCAGTGCCAGCCGCAGTAACAGCCTGCCTGTACTTCTTATCCTGGACATCACCGGCTGCAAAAACCCCCTGGATGCTGGTTAATGTGGTCCCGGGCTTCGTGATCACATAGCCATCAGAATCCAACTCCAACTGACCCCCCAAAAACTTGGTTGCTGGCTCATGCCCGATTGCGAAAAACAAGCCCGACACCTTCAAATCTAAAACCTGATTATTGACAACATTCTTCACCTTCAAACCCCCCAACGTCCTGTCCCCATACGCCTCCACCACCACAGAATTCCACAAGACTTCAATCTTGGAGTTTGATAATGCCCTGTTTTGCATAATCTTTGAAGCCCGAAATTCATCTCTTCGGTGAATAATGTATACCTTAGAACCATATTTGGTTAAGAAAGTGGCTTCTTCCATAGCAGAGTCACCACCACCAATTACGGCAAGGGGTTTATTTCGGAATATGGGGGCAGCACCATCGCAGACGGCGCAGGCAGATATCCCCCGGTTCCAAAAGGTCTCCGAACCTGGGAAACTGAGGCGTTTGGCTACTGCTCCAGTGGCGACTATAACAGAATCAGCTAAAACCCTTGTGGAATCACTAAAAATTTTGAACGGTTTAGTCGAAAAATCGACTTCCGTGACTGTTTCAGTGAAAATTTGTGTGCCAAAACGGAGAGATTGGGCTCGACACTTATCCATAAGCTCTATCCCTCCGACCCCATTAGGGAAACCCGGGAAATTTTCTACTTCGGTGGTGGTGGTGAGCTGTCCTCCGGGGGCGATATCGTTGGCCATCCATCCTTCGAAGAGGATGGGTTTCAGCTCGGCTCTGGCAGCGTAAATGGCGGCAGTATGGGCGGCAGGGCCACTGCCGATGATGCACAGACGGGTTTTTAGACTTTGGACGCCATTTTCCATGGAGTTAATTTTCGACGAGGCGGCAGTGGCGGTGGTGGTTGTGGTGGTGAGCGTGGCAACACCGATTAGATTGCGGGATTTTCTGAGACCGTTAAAAACCTTAGAGAAACAGCTGTGGGACATTTGTGGACTCGGAACATTTGGCTAAGAATAAAAAAGGGAAAACTGCATTTATCCTACTTTATCTTTATCCTATTTCAAAAATAACAAAATAATTTTCACATTTCAAAAATCAGATTTTTTGACCCATATATACACATATTTCTAAATATTTATTTATATATTTAAATATATAAAAAGATATTAATTAATTAATTAATATATCTATATACACACAATTAACCCACCCCCACCTCC